AATAATAAACACTTAGCTTTTCTCTACTATTAGAATGACCAGAGTACTTAAGGGGAAAAAAAATGAACACACCCAACTCCTAAAATTTCACACCTTATGTTTCAGGAAGCATGTGAGCACATAAATTTACTAAAAGGGCTAACGTTAGGTTTCGAGTTACGRTTGACTAACCTGGTTTGGTGACGGATGTCACAACGAACTCTCTGGCCAATTCTCTCAAGTTTTAGCCATAGAGGGGGAGATGAGGTCCAACGCTGGTGGATCATCAGATGCTGGTCCTACAACTTCTCAAGCTGTTGGTCCAGTATCAGCTTCAGTTGCAGTAGAAGCCGAGGCTGTTGAAGCTGAAGCAGTTGTTGCTCCTGTAATCATGTCCACCGAAGCTGCTCTAGCTGAGGTTGACGAAGCCATCCCTAGGGATGATGTCCATACCATCACTGCTACTGGTGATGATGATGATGATGTTGATGAGGATGAAGAAGATGATGATGAAGACGATGATAAACCTGTCATTCCAGACACGGGAGATGATCTAGATGGTGAAAACGACGATGATGATGAAGATGACTTCACCATCAAGTTCCAGAAGCCATCAACCGTCACCAAAGGTGTTGCCCTCGGAGAAGCTCAATCCCAGGGGGAGCAAAGACAAGGCGAATCGACTCCATCAGGGCACCAGGACCCCAAGTCAAAAGTCAAGGCGGTCGCTGAAGAAGACAACTTGAAGGTACTTTTTGCAAGCCCTCAACAAACCTTATCTGAAGACTCTACCTCTCAGGTAGTGATCACTTCAGAGTACCAAATTCACATCCCTTCAACAACCTGCTGTCGACTGGAGTGGGTATCTGATCAACCCAGCTCTTATACTCCAACAGACCAGCAGATGTCTCAGCTTAAGGAGTTACTCGACCAGACTAGAGTAAAAATTCCTCTTCGTACCTCTAGTGGTGGTAGTTTGACTTCCTTTCTGAAGCTGAAAGACTCGAGGCATTAAGGGCTGAAGAAGAGCTAGAGCTTCAGAAGAAGCAGACTGAAGACAGCCTAAGGCTGGCCAAGTCACTAGCTGCTAAAGTCCTTCCCAAGAAAAAGTCCAAGAAAACGGTGAGTGCTGTCTATGCCCAAGCTAAACTTCTTTCAATAGTTGAAGCTGATCGCAAGAAGAAGCAGAAGCTACAGGACAAGGATAAGCAATAGAGCGAAGCAAAGCTGAAAAAGAGACTTAGTCCCCGCAATCATCAGCGTCAACATCAACGGACGATCTAAAGACGGTAGAACTCTAGTCTCAATGCTCATCACCAGGGACAATCTTGATGCCGTTACCGAGTACCCTTCCTACCTAGTCCGCTATGGATACAACAAATGGATGGAGATCAGAAAATCCATTCAGCAATCCAAGTCGAGACACAAGACACTTATCGAGGACACCATCAACGAACTCATCAAAAGGATGTCCAGGTATGTCAAGGTCCCTGACAGGCCAACTCTGAAGAAAGGT